GTAGAAAAAGAAGAGATGCTCTTTCAGATGGAAGTGATCATCTGACAGCCTTTGGTCTACTGTGATGTCATCAAGAACATATTCATTATGTCTTAGTCATTTTTATTTTTCCATAAACGATTTTATGGCATACACGTACTTTTTGGCAGGTTGGGCTTGTCTTACCCCCTAGGTTTTGCTGACTGCCTCTGACGTCTTGGATCTGCTTTTGCTGGGGCTTAGTATTTTTCAGATTTGAACAGATCCTTTTTCTGAGGTTTCAGTCTTCTCTGGGCAGAATCCTCTGTTGTGATCCTCTGTGTGTGCATGTGCTGTTCTTCTGTGCTGCCCTGTCGTGTCATTCTTGCTTTAGGACTTGCTCAAATAACAGGATAAAAGTGTACAAACCAAACACTTCAGTTTGGGATGTGAAACTCATGTTTTACTCAGGTGGTGGTTTTGTGACTGGAAAAAACTGTGTGCTGAACCAGAGTGCTTTTTACTGCTGTTACATACTCACTGGAAGAGCATGAGGGGATAGAAAAAAATTAAACATTTTTCTTGATAGGTTTTTAGTATATTAGATTGTTACAAGAAAGCCATTATTACTGAGAAGTTGGGATATTCACCACATCAGATTATTGCTGTTGGAACTCGGTGGAATAAACACACAGCGCACTTGATCAAGGAGTTCATGAATTATCCTTACGTTGTGATAACAGCTGTGGAGGAAGCTTCCATCTATGGAAATGTGCAACAGGTGAAGATTGGTGATGATGTCACTTCTTGTTCACTAAGATATTTTGCTGTTTGTACGGATCAAGGGCAGTATGTGGCTGCTGATTGTTTGTTTGAAGTGGGTAGTGCTACAGTCCTGACTGGGGCTGTCCAGGTGCACCTCCCATCTGTGAACGGAGGTGACTCTCCGCAGATCTGGGCGAGTTAATCACTGAATGAGCTGAAGGCCTTTTCCCTTGTTTTGGAGGACTGAGGTGAGGGTACTCCCTTGAGTGTTTTGTTGTTAGCCTATTTCGGGTGATACAGTATGCTTTTGGAGTGTGAAGCCTTTTTAGTGGCACTTGAAAACGCCAAACCTAGAAATTGATATCACTTAGAATTAAATGAATGAAAATCCTAATGTGAGATTTTGATTATGTGGTGGGTTTTAGTTATGTTTCTGGAAGCTGCCCTAAATGCATACCTTTTTGTGAGAGGCAGACTTACAGAAGATACAACAGAAGACCTACCACTTACTGTAGCAGCTCCGAGGAAAAGGACTT